CATTATTTTGTTTGTTTGTTTGTTTCATTTTACGCCTTTTTCAACAGTATTTCAGTCATATAGGCGGGTAGTTTCCTAACCATCGTTCCTGGAGAGTTACACCAGTACTAGACTACCTTCCTCCGCGCTAAAACTACCAAAGCATCTCCCGGGGATCGAACCCACGCCAGAGAGGTAACTGGATTAGAAGTCATCGACTCTAAACCCCTCGACCACGGAGGCGGTCACTAAACAGCATAAACAAATGTTCCCCGATGTGTCCTGGCGTGAATATTTAAAAAAAATTCAGAAGGAATCCCGTCGAATCCAGAACTTTTATTATTTACAAGTTTAGAAATAACTGATTCAATTTCACATAATGTAAAAGGTAAATTTAGTGAATTCGCACTTTCATCAGAAGATACATGTTCGTTATTTACGTGTGACGGCACTTTTACCGCGTTTGCGTCATACAATAGTTTATTGAAGTAATTATACCATTCTTTAGAAGAAATGCTATTGCTTGTTATATTATTTTGTGGTTTGGCCGATTTCAATTGTTTCCAAAAAGAAATGGCATCAGTGCTGTTCACTAAGTTATATCTATTTTTACTTTGGTATTCGAATTTCATTTTATCACAGCATATTTTAAATCCATTACGACTAGTTTTATATAATCTCAAATCATTTTGTGTATTTGTGTTACGAAAATGACGTAATAATTGATATTTTCGTTTCTTCAATCTAAAACATTCATCATCCCACCATGCAGGTTTGATTAGAACTAAATTTAAACTTAATTCTCATACATTCGCCAGCTTCATGATAAATCTGAGTTAAATAAATTTATATACTCATCAATGTTTTCGTTAAGCTTTTGTATTAATGTATCATTTTTCTCATGCAAAAGGTTTCGTAAACTATTCACGAAAATTTCATTATAATTATTTTTCCAGCGGAAGTTTATCATATTAATATTAGTACACACGTGTTTGTTTGATGATAAAGTGTATCTTGCACAGGTATTTTTATCTTAAATTCTAAATTGCAACAGATAGGAAAATGGTCTGAATCGTCTTTATCTAAGACTTTAAAATATTTAACATACTGAAAAACATTTGTTGAAACAATCATATAATCTACAACACTAACTCCGTCGATAGAATAACATGTATATTCCCCTTTAATATCACCATGACACCTGCCATTTAATAAGTGAACATCAAATATGCAACAAAAATTTACTAAATCTTTACCAAAATTATTCCCTCTTATAATATTTTTATTATGACGTGGAATTTCAAAATAGCTGCCTTCATAATCGACATTACCAAAAACATAATGAAGATCATCGTTAGGAATGAATTCTAAAAAATCTCGGGTCCTAGCATTGAAATCTCCGCCCAAAAATAGGTCAACCTCTGGATAATCAAACTTAATTTTCTCAATATTATTATACATTTGTAAAACGCCATTTTTCTCAAGCATTCTATCATAGTATACTGAGTTTTCAGGTGATTTGTATGTAAAATATATAATGATATCGTTACAATGATAAAGTTCTGAGAAGTTAATCAACAAAACAACACAATTCTCAAATTCTGAAAAGATATGATGCCCTCTTTATAGATTATATTGCTTATGAAAACACTTACACCACCACTGTTACGCTTGGCATTTGTAACATGCTTCTTACATAATCAAAATGAGTATGTGAGCTTAAAAAATTTTCATATTCCCCCTTAAATTTACTCCAAGTTTCACATAAGCAAAAAAATGTCAAATGAACTGAGAAAACACTTTAAATCAATATTGTCCCAGTGTTTATTTAATCCACCGCTATTCCACGATAGTATTTTTATGTTTACAGTTCCAGGTGAGTGATTATTTGGTATGCCTCGGCCGCCCTGCTATTCTATCGTCGAATCAGAAAGATACTCATCCTGTGACGTTTGTCGTGTTGATGTTATTGGCTGTCTCAAGTCAGCTGATATATTTGTATAGAATAATTACAACGATTCTTGTATAAACACATATCATAGTATCATCATTTTATATCAGTAAATGCATTTTGTAATAATTCAATCTTAACAAGAAGCCAATAACTGATTTGGCATATATTTTGAAAACTCGAGCTTATCTGCAAGTTTAAATCTTAGTACTTATAAGTTTCATTAAGTATACATTATTTGATTGATGGAAGTAAGACTCGGTTCCCCCGTGAGGCTTGAAAGGAGTCACTTTTCTCACATTGAGGGAGAGTGTTAATTTCTTATGGTAAACGTATCTAGATCTCAGTGAACAAAAATACACAGACCGTCCAAATTGTATTGCCCGATTAGTGATGGATATGTATAAATCGCTAAATTACATTATTTAAGAAGAATATTCAAGCAAACTATAAAAACTTACATCATCTGACAAATCGCTGTCCGCCATGTTGCATCTCCTGGCTTAAAATGAGCGGCAATGCATCATCACAAATTACAAGTCACAACTTAGAAGTCACAAGTCATAACTCCCAAGTCAGTAGTCAAAAGTCATTAAGTCAGAAGTTAAAAGGGCCCTCCAGTGCTTCCATACATCTCTGCTTAAAACATTAGAAACTGCTTATTGAATGTATTTGTTGACTTCAATTATTTATTTTGTTTAACGTGTATGTGTGTATTTTATATACAGTTCATTCACCTTCCGAAGTCATAAGTCGTCGTTTAACGGTATCAGTTGCAGCAACTTTTTTCGCTGCACCAAAAAGCAATTTTATATGGATTCCGAAGTAGAACTGTAGATTGGCACCAAATTGAACTAACCGGCCTGTATTTCTTGATCTCCCATATAGCATGTTCAACAGAAACTCTATATTTCTGAATAAGCCTGTTAATATTTCTTCATTTTCTTTTCTTTCGAAGATTACGTCTGTAAATTTGTTGTGATGGGGTCATAAGGCGATGACGAAAGGGGTTAATTTTATCTCCTAGAAGAACAAATTCCCTTAGAAATGGAAGTCTGTCGCTGCTAATGTCTGGCATAAGATTAAACTAATGAACAACATTCAGATGACCGGGAAATCCTGATTCTATATTACACTCATCACCATCGGAATCCAAAATAACTTGCGTATTGATGGCGTGGAAGTGACGGTATCCAGAATAGAATTGTTCCTGTGCGTCATTCGTCGGTCGCAATATTTAGTGTGATGTTCAATCTATTGCACCAACTGCGGGATATAGTTTATCTCAGTCACTAACTTTACTAAGTCACTGATCTATTGTAGGCCAAGTAATGTAATGCACAAATGCTGTGGAAAATATAGTATCATTGTGCGAATATTAACATGTACATACGCGGTGCACATATTAAATATTGTTGAAAGTGTCACGAAAGTTGGCTTACACCGTATCCATATAACGAACAATAAAATTCTGTTTACTGGAAACAGTTTGTGGCGACTGTTTTTTCGTAGGTTTACAATTTGAAACAAATCTATTAATATTTCAGGTGTTTCACTAGTAAGTTTATAAAAATTGTACCTATTTCCCGAATATATATATTTGAATCCCTTGAAATAAAAAAGTGACGAAGAAAAAGTGATGATGTTGGAGAAGGATATAAGCAGCTCCACAGCCTAGTGGCGGTCAACGTCAGCAAGATTTGCAGGTTGACAACAATGACGAGGAGAGGACAGGCCAAGTTCAGCACCTAGTGCCAGCTGTTTCAAATGTTGCAGCAGGTCAACGTAATCGACCGGCTCATCACAGGAGGAATAGGCGCTCCCTTGCAGATCAAATTAGAGACAATTAGGCTCTCTACAGGAGATTCCTGACAAAAAAATCCAAAATTACTCCGTGAATTAGGCGTCAGCAGTGACAGCAGTGATGACAATTATGTTTAGTCCGATTTTAAAACCACTTAGCCACACATTACTTGAAAAATGGGCATCTGGGTTATCTTGGTTGAAAAAATATCATGATAATAAAGTATATGAACTAAGAAACTTGTTTTGTTTTTTAGTCTATATAAACATTTTGGTTATATCTATTATTGTGTTGGTGGTTTATAGAAATAAATAGCAAACATATTCATGTACAAAAATGCTGTATTACAGTTTGAGCGTATTGATCTTTATATCTTATTTTCCACATTTATGTTTTGAAAATCCCCCATTTTATTCAGTATTATGGAGTCGTTTAAGATAGAAAGGTCTATTGTGCCTCAATCGGAGGGTATTTCTTAACACTATAAGTGGAGTAGGCTAGGTGGATTTAGGTAATTTCTAACCCGATTTTTTAAAATTTCTAGCAGACCTTTTAATCTTTGTCACAACAGACAAATATTGGTTAATTCAGAATTTCAGATATGGCATTACTTTGTTTATTTATTCACTTGTGAATTGAATTGCATTTTGTGCTTAAGATTTTACTTTTTCACAAAAATATGATACTTATTAAACAACGAGCACATACCAAAAGTGATATGTGCTTCGGATATTCAACTATAATAGTGACAATTGTCAATGCTGATTTTGTACATTTCCGGTGACTGTGCAGATCATTTGGCGGCATCTTTCATGTGCAGCATCAACATTTAACTTGTTCTTTTACTTGGACTTTTACATTTCACCAACAATGTAAAGGTCATAAGGAGACATTCCAGCTGTTCTGTTGGGGTAATGTCTCAGGTGCCCATCGATACAAACAGGCACATGAATAGAACCACCGACGCTCCGTAAGCTAGCTTATAGCTTTCTCAAATGTAAAACATATTTGAATTTGTATTTACTTTTCGACGAACAAACATTAAAAGTCTAATCAAATTATTTTGATTTTGGAAATATATTCATATTATTAGTAACTGTTTTCTATCATTTAGAGAACAGTTTCGATGGAAACCATCGAAAACGTTTTGAGCTTCAAATTGAAAATAACATGTTGTGCTTTTACCATAATAACGTCTACCACATTACACGAACGAAAAACATAATAACAACGCAAATCATTTAAGTTGTATAATTTATATTTAAAGCAAAATGTAAAAAGCTTACACTGTATAATAATGCCTGCCTTTGTTGAACACAATCATAACAGAGTATCAATTATAAATATAATAATGTAAAGCTTAACATTAAACTATGTTTAAAATGTAAACAAAAACAAATTTCCAACATATTGCCCTTCCACCCCGACACCATAAAAAGAGAACCAAGATCAGCAAGGCAAGACGATGTTCACAGACCGCATCCCCGACAACCCGACCAAAACCTGTCACACCACCAGTGCATGCAGAAGGCACCTAACGACCCCCCCCCCCCGAAAAAAAAGTGTGATGAAAGGGAGAGAAATAGGTGGCACACAGGTGACATGTGTGTGTTTTGATTTATCTCGTGCGCACGAGATACTATGTCGTGGCCAGTAGGATCATGTCAGTAGATGACATCTAATAATTTCGAGGTCATTGTGTCAAAAATCAGGGTCACAGTTGCATTAATGTAAAATTATTAAACAGTCAATAAGTTGTATAAATGTCACTTTTACAGGCTGGTAAAGTAGGGTCATCCTTGTACTATAGCACATGTCTAGTTAATTAGGGAAACCGTAGAGAATTGTTAAAGAGTGAAATGAAAAGAATTGAAGGGCTAGTTTATCTTAAGTATTAGGTAAAATGTATGTCTAGCTGTACACATTTTTTACAAATAATTTCTCTATTAAATAATAAAATTAATGTTTAATGTTAATGTGTATAATTTAACATAATTAGAGAGAAAAACCCGCTAACTCAAGGCCAAAATAAAGCAAAACAAAAAGCTAAATAAAAAACAAATGATACATTTACAAGACATATACAAATATTGCCTGTAATAAATGTACTAAGAAGTGTCACAAGTATCTTTGATCAACAATCAGACACCTAATAATTTAAAAAGTTAACATTGAAAATTATGTAATATATACATTTTGTTTTACGTAAGTCAATATTCAAAAAAAATGAGTACCCAATATATTAAGATAGTTAAATCTAGTACATTATCTACAACAAGAAATTCAATTCATTTTAGTCCTAATATCAATAAAAGGTAACTGTACACCGAATATTGCAATCATACTCATTTCAAATAAAAAATTTCTTAAACTTGACAGCTAGACAAGGCTCGAATGACTAGAAGTACAAAATTGGCGCGACAATAATCTAAAAATAAACAACCAATCAGAAAACAGTTCACAAAAGTCACGGTTTACTCGAAATAATTTGTTATTTTAGAACTAAAATATATCAATTAAATGGGAAATGAAAGGAAAATACCATTGACGACAATTTAGGATATCACAAAACGAGTAAACATTCAAAACATCTAACAATACACAAGACATACTTTTATAGGAACACATAGCCATATCATCAAAACAACAATATGTTAAAGGTAATTTATACACAACAACATAAAATATAACAAACATTAACAAACAAAAAATCATTATAACAACGCAATACATTTATTTTAAATAATTTATATTAAGTGCAAAACGAAAAAGCTTACATTGTATAATAATGCCTGCTACTGTTGAACACAATCATAACAAAGTATCAATTATGAAAATAATGTAAAGCTAAACTTTAAACTATGTAGTAAACAAGAATAAAGATGAACATATTGGGATTTGGTAATGAAGCCTTACCCTCCTCCAAAAAAGGAAAGAGAAGAAGGATCAGCAAGGCAAAGCGATGTTTACAGAAAGCAGTCCCGAAACAAACCATCACACCAGCAGAGCACCCAGAAGGCACCGAAACAAAAACGAGATAGAACACAAGAGTGGTGAAAGGAGGGGAGAGAAATACAATAAGTAAAATGAAAAGAGCTGAAAGGGCTGATACGGGAACAAAAGGGACTGGCGTGTGGAAGGGGAGGGAAAAAAATGGATATGAGAGGACACGAAAGGAAAGTACTTTTATGATATCGCCAATTTATGATATCACTAAACGTGTAAACATTCAAAACATCTAACAATACACAAGACATATGTGTAAAGGAACACAGAGGTCATGTCATCAAAACTAACAATATATTAAATTATATATACAATATAAAATTAATATCACAAGCAATGAAGAAAGATGCAGATAAAGTATGTCATTTAGCAGTAAATCTAAACCAGTATTTAAAGGAAGCAACCAGAGAGTCTCAACCGGTTAAGATGTTTAGAAAACTTAACAACGTTTTTACCAGGAAAAACAAAAGAGGCGTTTTAAATACCAAGAAATAATAATCTTGTAAATAAAATATAAATATCTTATATCAAACTCCATTTATGGGAACAGTATGTGTATGTATGTATGTATGTATGTATGTATGTATGTATGTATGTATGTATGTATGTATGTATGTATGTATGTATGTACGTACGTACGTATGTATGTATGCGCGTGCAGGTATGTATGTATGTATGTATGTATGTATGTATGTATGTATGTATGTATGTAAACTCCAGAACGCTCAACTGGTCTCTCTTTTTTCATTTAACATTATTTTTAAGAAAGAAAAGTGTTAATTTTATAATTAATATAGATAATGCTTAATCTTGTCACAAATATGATACCTGATATATTCAATATCTTATAAAAACAAAACTACACGGTAAAAGTGTTTAATATTTTACAGGATTAACCAATATACTTTTGAAAAACTTTTGAGAAACTTTGAAAACAGCCCCCCATTTTGGTAAATTTTAGGTTTTATTCTTACATAGGAAAATTGTCAAACAAGCGTTGAAAATGGGTGGTCCTTGTGTGTGTTGTAAGTATTTATTATGTTATTATTTGTTTCTTAACAATAATTAATGGGAAACATTTTTTCATAAAGATGATATTATAGATTATTTACAAACTCCTCATTTCTGAAAAGTCCCCCCTCTAATATCTAAGCTTAAGTTTAGTGCAGATGTTCTTTAAGGCAAATAACTTACCTATGTTGTCAATTTGCAGTTAATTGATGTGTCCATGAGGTTGTTCATACCTTAACAACCTTCATTACTACAATACACATCATGTGTTTCCCTGTGATTGAAGATTTCTAAATAGTCTATCTATTTGGCTACTTATGTTTCCAGTTACTCTATTTTCCATCTCTTGAATATTACTCATGATTTCATTCTTTGTGTTATCAATGTGCTGTTTGATAACTGTAAGTTCTGTTTTCACGGAATTTATTTTGTGGTCGGTACTGTGCATAATATTTCTCTGCAAATCCGTGGTTTGTCTTGAAATTTCTGCGCTTACGTTATCTGTCATACCAGCTTGTTGCGTTGAATTAACATTTGTCGGTACATAATACAGTTTCATTGCCATGCTGAAATTGTCATCATCAATATCCATTCCTACTTGAGATGGCGGTTCTCTATTCAAAGAAAGCGCCTTGCTTAATTCTTGTTTTATATCAACTATAGGAGTAACCATATAAACATTTCCTATTTTACCTTCAAATAAGCCGACTGCAGATAATTGGTCATTTTCTCTTTTCAAAACAAGTGAACCGGAGTCGCCTTGAACACCAAATGTTTGGTCATCGACATCTTCTATTTCAATTTGCTGATGTAATACAACATCGACACCCATGTAGTTGTCTATTAACATACTATATCTAACAGAAGAACCTTGAACTCGCACGTTACCTTTAGTCAGACCAGAGAATGCCCCAAACTTGTATACATCGCTTGACGATGAAATATTCGATAAATTACAAATGCGTTCTGTTGGAAATTCAAAAGGATTATTTGTTCCAAAATCTGAAAAGTATTTACATTAAATTTAAGACAATATATCAGTTTGTATATACACGAACAAAATAACTATAAACAAATGGCATTATGTAGGTACATTCTCATTGATTGGCAGTGATTAATGGATGATCAAGTTTCAGCTGCCGTTCCAACCGTCAAAATTAAAGCATTAACACAAGACGTGTTTTAGCGACTACACTGAGGTTATCAAATGGTAAACAATAGATATAATTATCTAACTACATGTATTCATTGTTTCTCTCATCTATAGAGTCTATAGATGATAGAAACATGTCAAAGCTGGTTTTCGTTTTCATATTATTATCCATTTTTATCAATTTTAGATACAAATTAAATGTGTGCCACGCAACGAAATGCAACATTTGATTCTGTTGATCAGATAACATAATATCAATTATTTTTTTATCATAATTACTTAACTTGAATAGATAATAGATACTTTTATTTGGTTTTATTAGCTTTATAAGATATACTGAATGGTAGGCACGTATCGATATTTTCTTATTTATTATCTTCTGTTAAACTTTTTCAGAATGTGACAAGTATTTTTCGAAATTCTAAACATTGACATAAATAACTGTTATTTTCGTCCAGGGAGACGCATTGACCATTTAAAAGAAGTAAAAAGGAAAAGAAAAAAAAGAAATAAACAATACATGTAGTATTTTACCATTGTGGTAAACGTTTGAATCAGGAAACCTGCCATCAACTGGAATACGATTTTCATCAATTTTCACTAAAGCAATTTCCATACCAGAATTTCCATCACCTCCTTCCTTGTACACAGCTAATTCTATCTTGCCAAGGTGGTGACGAGTACCTTGACCAACAGTTGTATTTTCAGGTGGTTGAAATGCGTCATTTCCACAAAGCCCGTAATATACGTTCTTGTCCATAATGAGTCTTTTCATTTGATCAGGATTTAGCAAAACGTGGGTGCTGGTTAACAAGTATGTATGGGGATCAGACTGAAATCTAATAAAATGTCCTATATAGTTCCTTGCAGGGACCCGAACCTGCTGTTTAAAGCACAGCCCATTTTAACATTTTGGTGCAAATCAGTAGAGAATCCGCAAAGGGTAAACACACCTTCTCGCACGTCAACATGATATCCGCCGACAAATTCATCAAATGGGTCTTCATCGATAGGAACAAGTCCCTTGATTTGGACATAAAGTGCAACGCATGGCGACTGTTTCAAACTGCATTGCTTACTCCCGAACTCACTAGATTTTACCCAACTTATAGTTGCTCTCGTAAGATTTGTATGTTTTTTCATCAATTGTTTGGCATTATTCTTAAGGCACTTTGTTAAATCTGCTATCTGTACATCGTGAAGTCTGTGCTTATTTTCCTCCAACTGTATTCTACTGTTTTCTTTGTCACATTTGTCGGAAATGTCGTATAAGCATCTTTGGTACGTTTCATACTCGATATTAATAGCTTCCTCTGGTTCCTTTGTTATAACAACAAATATGATTTCATTTCCGCACTGCTTGTCAAACTTATTGTATCTAAAGGCCGTCCAAACATTTACTATCTTACTTGACCTTGTTTTGATATATTGACAAATGCACTGACAGATCGACTGGAAAATGTCTGATCTACGGTTAAGCTCGGAGCCAATCTTTTTCAGCAAATATTTATCGGGCAAAATTCTCATTTCTAATAACTGTTTTGCCTCATATCCTTTGTCTGCTTTGTTCATACATAATTTCCAAACATTCGAATCTGAAATGTACGAAATGAAAAATCGTATATTGATAACGAGACGATTACAAGGTAACACTCTTTATTCATTCATTATCTTAGAAAACCGATACATGTGGATCACAGTTCTAAGTAGCCGAAAGGGTAAATGAAAAATATGTTAATGTAATGTTATACCATATTAATGATAAGAAATATAAATTGTTTTATATAAGGGATGTAGAGCCAGAATTAGCTGTTTTGTAATTCATATATGTAAACATAACCTAAAATATTAGAATTATATCCATATATAAAGCGACTAAAAACAGTACAAACGCATACCTATTCGAAAGTCTTTCTGCTTCTTATCTTTGCAAATGACTGGACTTTCAGGTTTATTTTCATCAAAACTGACTTCCCTATCAAAACTGACTTCTCTAAAATCATCAAGACTGACAGAGGCCAGGTCAGATGGAACTTTATGAATAGAATCCACCGAGGTTACTAGTTTCATTTTAGACAAATCAGTGTTATCTGAAATACGTACATACATAAACTCAGTGTTACTGCTTGTTGTTTCTTGTGCATTTGTAAAAATACATAATGGAATAAAGGGCAAAAACATAAGAAGGATAGTGCATATCATTAATCTGATTTCCTTTTTCTTCAAATTCTGAAAGCGCATACAGACACATTTCAATAATTCAAGTACCTGTGAATCAAAGAGAAGGGTAAAATTTTCAAACGAAAGCGATTTTGCAAAATGTCCACTAAAACAAACAATGATTTGGACATATTTCTTCTTATCTTTCTCATTCGGATTTATAGCGTGCACCTAGATAAAATTCATACCAATTAAGACATTCTTAGCCTTCTCATTTCTCTACGAAACAAGACTTGTCACCCTTTACTGCATTTACTATTATGTCATTCCACCTTTAACTTCTTGATTACCTTCTAATAACCCGGACTCTGGTTTGTCTTTTTGACTGGTGCTTGATTCGTTATCTTTGTTGTGTTCTAAAACTTTTTCTTCTTGTTCCTCAATTTGGCCGATACCCATGCCTTGTTGCATCATGTCTTTAAATACCTCACTGTTAAGCAAGTGCTCCACCACATGCTTGCCAAGTCGTTCAGTAAATTGCTCTCGTCTCCTAGTATCTACATGTATCACAATAAAAAAATCCGAAGTCTTTTACAATATGTATCAATTTTCCTTTACTTTATTTCCTGTTCTTTAAATTCACAAATTAATCTTAATCATAGATAAAATATCAAACGCGCACATAATATGTCAGAGCTTATATATTTTCAATTTTAAAATATTCCTTGTCATAAACAGAGAGATAAGAAATTAACGACTCAAGCCATACTTGATTACAAATATGAAGTAAACACAAGTTCATATAATAAGAGATTGTAAAAAAAGATAAATAAAATGGGTGGAGCTTCAACTAAACTTTCTAATGAACCTTATTTCAAAACATAAAAATTCAAAATATTCAAAAATAGCTAATATTTCAGAAATAAAAGTAAAATAAAAAAAATTATTACCGTCTTCTTGGAGACTTGTCTGAAACAGAACATTGGCAACGTTTCCATAAGTATTTCAAGAATAAATAAAATGTAAAAAGGTATACCTTCGGATGATTACATGTTGAAACATTATATAGTGTGCAAGGTAAAAAATTATTTCAAAATTAGGATCATTTGAATTCCATGCACTTCATCTTTTGATTAATTGATATCTAAAGTTGTCATCCGAACCCCTTTTACCAAGAAGATACAATGCAATACGTTTACTTTTTAGTTTACTTAAATTTAGGAAATATGTTTAAGTTATATCATTGCAAGAAGTAACTAGTTCCCAGACGAAAAGCAATATTAAACTAGCACCTCGTTTTTCTTTTCTGACCTTTAACAATAGCAACAGTTGAAGTTTAAAAAGAACAAAATCGTAGCCAGACAGCGTTACTTTTGTCATTTTTAGCAACAAAGAACAAGAAAAAAAGTCGAAAACACCCATGGTTAATCTAAAACGCAAAGAAAAAACGTAGTAAAACACTTCTATTTATGTTACTTGTGTTAGGGGCTGCGTTCTGTCAACGTTGCCTTGGCTTGTTGATCTTTATTCTGTCATTCCAGCTAGTCCGTCTTAATTGATATATGTGGAAATGTAAACGAAATATTATTTTACAAAACCTGCGCAAAATCAACAGGGTACTTACAGTTACATCTTCATTTCTCGTTTCAAAATATGTGTAAACAGTGTCTTGGAGATCCATTAAAGCCTTACTGGTTTTACCCTGATGCTCAATATTGCTCTGTAAAGACTTTTCTAAAGAATCTAGCCTTCCGTTAAAGTCAATATTACTCTTTTCTATCGCAAATTTCAAGTCATCTAAAGATTCGTTATCCTGAAAATATATTCAAATATTTAAAAATGTAAAAATTAAGATAAAATAACCGAATTTCATATACAAATAGTACATTGGTTAATGATCTAGAATGACTGACAAGAATGAAAAGAAGAAGAGCGTGACAATTGTATCACCACTATACCAGGTTTTGCGATAATTTTCATTCTGAGAAAAGATGATTACACACAAAAAATTCCTTTGAAACATCAGCAGCCTCATTTTTAAGTGTTAATGCAGAAAAACAAAAATAAAGGGATATATGGTGAAAAACAAAGAGGAGCTTAGCAGATATTAAGATATAAAAGTGGAACAAAATAGGTAAAGATTGTATCTTAAAATATCATATTCGATATTACCTTTAAAATCTAAAGTTGACTAGACGATGCGATATCAGTGGCATTTATTGAGAATACTAAGTGCAGGATCTTCATGTGTCAAAGATAAACTTTTTTCTTCAATTTTCACGAACAGAAAAGTGAAAAAGTTGAATATGAATATGCAAAACAAATTACATTCTTTTATAAATAAGAAAATCTTTCGTAATAGAATTAAATAAATAATACCCGGGGACTCTTTTTTGATTCTGATGACAGGTCCCTTTTCACAGAGGTATCATCTGCAATAAAAATAAATACATAAACATAAATAAAATAAATTCAATATGAAACAGAAATAAATATCTGACACTACATGGTGTATTTTAGAAATAAAACCACTTAAATAACGCAATTCTCTCTATCAAATCATGGAGAATTTAAACTGTATATATAGCGTGAACTGAACACTTGGAACGTCAATTACATTTTGTTTTCATTTGACGATTACAATGTTTGTACTATGTAGTATATACATGGCTGCTGTATTCCAAGAGATATATACACAGTAGAAACATAATAATCAACACCACTTAAATATTGCCATTTTACAAATGTAAAATTAAACAAAAGGGCCATAATGGCCCTGAGGTCGCTCACCTGTATATAGCCCCCCCCCCCCGGGCCAATTTTTACCCAAGGGCTTTTATTTGTTTATTTGAACAGACTTGGTAGACAACCATAAGAAGATGTTTCATGCTAAACATCTAAGTTCTAGCTCATGAAGATTTTTTAAGTTTTTACTATACACATATAGTTAAAAACAATGACACCCCTGGGGCAGGGGCAGTTTTGACCCCCGGGCTTTTATTTGAACAAACTTTGTAGATATTTACTTAAAGATGTTTCATGCTTAATATCTAAACTCTAGCTATTTGGGTTTTTTCAAAGAAAATTTTTAAGTTTTTGCTATACACATAAATTATAAGGAAAATCAATGACCCCCGGGGCGGGGCCAGTTTTGACCCCAGGGCTTTTATTTGAACATACTTGGTAGACACCCATTAGAACATGTTTCATGCCAAATATCTTAGCTCTAGCTCTTACAGTTCTTTAAAAGAAGATTTTTTAAGTTTTTACTATATGCATATAGAGAAAATCAATGACCCCCTGGGGCGGGGCCAATTTTGACCCCAGGGCTTTTATTTGAACAAACTTGGTAGACACTCACTAGAAGATGTTTCATGCCAAATATCTAAGCCTTAGCTCTTACGGTTCTTTAAAAGAAGATTTTTTAAGTTTTTACTATATGCATATAGGGAAAATCAATGACCCCCTGGGGCGGGGCCAATTTTGACCCCAGGGCTTTTATTTGAACAAACTTGGTATACACTCACTAGAAGATGTTTCATGCCAAATATCTTAGCTCTAGCTCTTTGGGTTCTCTAAAAGAAGATTTTTTAAGTTTTTACTATATGCATCTAGGGAAAATCAATGACCCCCTGGGGCAGGGCCAATTTTGACCTCAGGGCTTTTATTTGAACAAACTTGGTAGACACTCATTAGAAGATGTTTCATGCTAAATATCTTAGCTCTAGCTCTTTGGGTTCTTTAAAAGAAGATTTTTTAAGTTTTTACTATATGCATATAGGGAAAATCAATGACCCCCTGGGGCGGGGCAAATTTTTACCCAAGGGCTTTTATTTGAGCAAACTTGGTAGACATTCACTAGAAGATGTTTCATGCCAAATATCTAAGCTCTAGCTCTTACAGTTCTTTAAAAGAAGATTTTTTAAGTTTTTACTATATGCATATAGGGAAAATCAATGACCCCCCCCCCGGGGCGGGGCCAATTTTGACCTCAGGGCTTTTTTTTTTAACAAACTTGGTAGACACTCACTAGAAGATGTTTCATGCCAAATATCTTAGCTCTAGCTCTTTGGGTTCTTTAAAAGAAGATTTTTTAAGTTTTTACTATATGCATATAGGGAAAATCAATGACCCCCTGGGGCAGGGCCAATTTTAACCCCAGGGCTTTTATTTGAACAAACTTGGTAGACACTCATTAGAAGATGTTTCATGCCAAATATCTAAGCTCTAGCTCTTAGGGTTGTTTAAAAGAAGATATTTAAAGATTTTTCTTTCGGTTGCCATGGCAACCAGAGTTCTGCATGGAATTAAATTCTTTGAACAATTTTTAAAGGTGACCACCAAAGGAACATTCCTGTGAAGTTTGGATGAAATTGGCTCAGTGGTTTATGAGGAGATGTCATTTAAAGCAAAAGTTTACGGACGGACGGACGGACGACGGACGGACGACGGACGGACGCCGGACGAAAAACGATCACAAAAGCTCACCCTGTCACTTTGTGACAGGTGAGCTAAAAATAAAGGGGTGAAGACAAGACTGAAAACCGATACAAACCAGAAGCTTCCTCGCCTAGCCTTGTATAAGGTGGGGGCTCGTCTGGTATAACACTACCGTCCGGTTCAGTATCTGTGAATATATGTCAGACATGTATAACCTGCCAATGAATCAACATCTAAACTCATACCACCCGTTTTTAAAAGCCAAAGTCCTGAAATTTCCCGCTGGAAATGATCTAAGCATGCGAATAAGTTATTTACTTGTATGACGAATATGTATCCCTGTTGATAAATCAATAACCATTTCGAACTCCTTTATAGATGTTTACATACTTATTTACTGTATACGATGTATTCTGTTGAGTTTGAATATTATTCTAATATATCTTTACAAAATGTTCGATAAAGCGAAAAGTCTTTACAAAATGTTCGATAAAGCAAATGGTCTTTATAAAATGTTCGATAAAGCAAAAAGTCTTTACAAAATGTTAGATAAAGCAAATGGTCTTTATAAAATATTCGATAAAGCGAAAAGTCTTTACATATTGTCCGAAAAAGCAAAAAGTCTTTATAAAATGTTCGATAAAGCAAAAAGTGTTTATAAAATGTTCGATAAAGCAAAAAAAGTCTTTACAAAATGTTCGATAAAGCGAAAAGTCTTTACAAAATGTTCGATAAAGCAAAAAGTCTTTATAAAATGTTCGATAAAGCAAAAAGTCTTAACAAAATGTTCGTTAAAGCGAAAAGTCTTAACAAAATGTTTGATAAGGCAAATAGTCTTTGCAAAATGTTCGATAAGGCAAAAAGTCTTTACATAATGTTCGATAAAGAAGTCTTTAAAATGTTCGTTAAAGCAAAAAGTTTCTAAAATATGTCCGATAAAGCAAACTGCATAAAGCGTATTAAACATACAAATGTTCGCCTTACCTGTGTTGACTGCAGCACTGTCTGCTCCAGTTCCCGGTTGAGTGGCTTCATTAGAGGCACCTTCATTAACAACATCATCAGTTTGAGTTGATGTCTCACTTTTTTTAGACGCCGGCTTCACATCTGATTTTTGTGTTGGTTGAGTTGTTCCTACACTTTGTTCGGCCCCCTACGAAAAGTTTCAACTTTATGTATAACAAGCATAGGTTCTTTTTTTTTTCAAATATAAGCATTTTGATACGATTAAATTCATTCCAACATTAAATGATTCAAGTAGACTTTTCAGTCTTTTTAAATAATCTTAGTGACCGAAAATTTGATAACGACGTTTAAATAAAGGATATTTGTTTGTGTTACATGTAAGATTGCAATATATTTCATTGAGTGAACACCAGATGCAATATTTTCACGAGTGGCTTAGCCACGAGTGAAAATAGAATAGCTGGTGTTCACGAATGAAATATATTTGTCACAGGGTGAGTATAATGTGCAGCCTGACCGGAACTCGAACCCGGGACCCTCGGATTTTGAAATATAGTTGTGTTAAGTTTCTCTAATTTTGTTACATTTTTAATATGATGTATGATGACATCGACTTTCCTTTCTTAAGAAAAAATAAAAATTTACGTATGACAGCATTTATTTTTGCCTGTTATTCCATTTATTTATGATATTCTTTTCATCAGCATTCAGATATAGTCCGACTACAGTAAAAACTATATTTGATAAATTTAACTAGTGGTTTATCAGAATATAAACATCTGATTTATAACGGTAATTCACTGGAAAGCATGAAAAATAATGATTATCATTGGCAAGTCACCGCCTTTCGTCGGTCACGCTTAATAGATATTTTGGTTCAAGATATATATTGCATCAACTATCCCATCCTCAGTGGAAAATATGTTTTCTACGATAAAAACAGAGACTTAAAGCACATACTAGTACATGTTTTTACACAAATTATAAACAGATAAAAATATTTAATGAGACAAAAGAGAACATACAATGAATCGGAGTAGCAGATATAAAACAAAAGAGCAGATATAATGAGACAAAAAGCCGAAAGTGTCTAAGAATCTGCTCGAGGCGTCAAAAATAGTTGATATGCTGTAAAAATATATAAATAAGTTGGATCTTATAACTGATATTTATACGTGCATTGTTTTCAGGCGATAAGATTGCCTTTAAACGAGGAAGCCTGCATACCATAGATCTATATGTTGGGTTATGTACGTAACCTTACTGTGCTTGTTCCGCTCCTGAAATGCCTTATATTTATGAGTGACTGTATTTCTACGACCTGATCCTAAATAGTTTGGTTAAATTAAGTTAACTTAAAAAGAAACAGAAATAAACATACACACATAAACAACCGATCAAACTAGTCAAAATATACTGACGTGCCAAAGCTTGATTCTGAGATATTTTCGTTCTGGGGCAGAATCTCAGAGGCGAGATATTGCCCAGACACGAAAATAGCACAATATCTCGTCGCGCAGTACAATTAGTTGGACTACCGATCAAACTAACAAACCATTGAATATTGATAATAAGTGGAAAAAAAAGAATATTGTTGTGCCGCCTATTAAAAAAGTAAAAACTTGTTTAAAACAATATTCTATGCTGTATTAATATTAAGAAATTACTTGTATTGTACGATAAAATGACTATTGACCATGAGAGCGACTTGAATTATAAATAAACACAAGTAAGATATGACCCAGATGTGTGTATATATAAATTGTTAAATTAGACACGTTAAATTGTATGTATACACCGTCAAACAATCACTGAAATATATTTACTACACATATCTTTTAACATATCTACAGCATTAATAAACACCTATGACACTTTATATGAGTAAAATGAAGTTCGAAAGTTGAAATATTACCATTTTTCTTAGCAAATATCCAAAGACTTATTCTAAAATCAACGTTTAATATAGGTAAACATTCATTGCGCAAGCGCGGACAGGAGCGTAGCTTTTCATAAAAATTACTATATTATTTATAAACGTGTTGCATTAGGTATTACCCACATAATTGGCAATATGAGAGGTAAAATCATAAGTAGTATGTCTTACAGTCATAATCAATTAAAAAATTCCCTCTAATATAGAATGATACAAGTAAACAAATCCAAATTAATGTCGTAGTATATATGTAGTAAGTAGTTACGCAATAAATACATATTAGATAATGTACTGTTTACTTTTATATCTACACATGTACTTTATTTAGGTGGACATTCACTCGGCATATATTGGAATACAATTAGCCAGCAACTCCCGGCATTAAATTACTATTTGTTTGCGTAACTAAGGTTTTTAGCAAAGTTTGTCGGAAAGGGCCGAGATGATGCGATTGAGGTTCCACCAATTTTAAAACTATTTTCCTACTTAGAGAGCCTTATCTAAAATATCCATAGCATTTACCGAAAATGAGGTACACGGAGGTTGCGTTTATTTTCCTAAAGGTAATTTGGTTGATTTTACCAAACTAAATCAAATATTTTTTACAATGTATTTTTAAATAATAGACTTTTAAAATATCAGGTACCATTTTTCTTTTAATTAGCATTATTAAGGCAATAAATACCATTGCAAATTAAACACATGTTTTTTTCCAATAGGCATCTGGGATATGCATTTTAAAAAATACTTTAAAAGAAACCAAAGGAAGAAAAAGTTGACTCTTTCGGTGTTATAATCCATGATCACGTGTTCTTTGCAAACACCCAACGTGCACTATATTAGTCATTTATAAGTACCCGGTATTAGGCCACAGATCAAGTAACATTTATCAAATGTTCATATAACATTTTTCAAATGATAATATTACAAACACAACATTAATGTTTAATCCTCTTTCCATGGAAACACATTAAAGTAATAACAATTTATTTCATTTCGACTGGCCATGCATATTAAAGCAAACATAAAAACGTAGAGCATACGGCGCAGGCTGTTAGTTGTGATAACGTCATTAATTAACGTTTATTAAAAAAAAAACACACACACGCACACGCAAACGCACGCAAGCTTGCGCAAAAACACATGCACATAAGGGTTTCTTTTAAAATGTATTTGCCATTATCAGCAATAATATAAGGTCGTTGCTTATGAGCCCAGTTGATGAACAATAATGTTTATTATGATACCACACAGAACATTTTTGTTGTGTTGACAATCAAAATCTATTCGAATGTGAGAAAATCGATAAAAATCATACGCATCTTAAGGCCTCAACAGAGGTTGGATTTTGAAGTAAAACATCAATTAAAACTTACAAGCAAATCTTAATGTGTGAAGGCTACTATTTATTGAATTGGTACAACTTAATACGAGATTTTGCAGGATGGGACAGGTTTTATCTCTTAATACTAGTTGCACAGACCTCCCACGATGATAGGTGACAGATTTCCCAATTCCAGAACAATTAGGGCTAAAATGTAAAAACAGTAGTAAAAAGGAGTTCAAAACCCGTTGAAAAACTCTTGGGGAACCCCGAATTTTTGGCATGTTCGAATCCATAATAACTCAGAAAATGATTATAGATTACAAAATGGAGGAGTTTCCATCAGTACTCATTCAGAAAAAAATCACTGTGAACAGGCTTTAAGGTGCTCAGCTATTTTATTCATTCCAGAACATGGTAATTCCCTTAATGCCCCCCCCCCCCCATGCTATCCACGGCCTATATCTTAATAAATCGCCTTAATTGGTCAATACTTACAATTATATAACATTGACAGTGAAATAAAAGTAGTGAATAACTTCTTTAAGGGATCCATTTAGAGGGAATTATTTTGGAGGGAAACCTGGTGATTAATACAACATAGATTTATGGTCCGAATGCAAGTGTTTTGAAAAGTGTATTGCTTTGAAAAGTGTACATCATATCTTAAATTAATGTTGTACAACTATGTTGAGGCCTTTAAAGTGCAATCGGAAAATACAACAATTTAAATGCGACGACGGCACTACAATACACAATTTTAAGTACAGCGAGGGTTCCAAATATAGTTGGATAAAAATCAAAGTTGTTCTGTTCAAGCCTCTTTCTAAAGGCTAAAGGAACCTGCCAACAATCTGATGACAATGTTAAAGCTTTATTTTACGAGAATTTTAATTCGGTATTAGGTATTTGGCGAAATAAATTTTTCTAATTAATGAACATTATCACTTTGTCATTAATGTAATGTTAATGTAATTTCATTTATTTTATCAAGAAAGTTTGATTTATTATATATTCTTCACACGTTTATATGACTCTGGTTATATAATGCAAACAACGAAATTATTTTGACAGCGTGCGCGAGGGTGTGTCTGTGCGTGCGTGCGTGTATGTGTGTTGTGTGCGTGTGCGTGTGCGTGTGCGTGTGTGTGTGTTTTATACCCGCTACCGCTGCCCATATGGGCGAGTCCTCCATTTCTTTGATGAAGAATTAAAGATGAACTCACCTGCCAGCTTATAGGAGTGTTTAAAACGGACAAGTGTCACAACAGAATGAAAAATTGTAAAAGATATTAGATGGCTAACATATCATATTTCGGGCCTTATTTGGCGTGGATTAAAGTTGAATGCAGTGTATGATTCATCAAGGATAGTTAATTGAAGTAATGTTACATATTAATAGGCCTCAACACACGGTAGGTTTTAGCTGTACATTAATCATTAAAGATAAGATGTATAATTTACTTAGCAATACAATACAATACATCAATACTACCTACCTACCTACCTATCTATCTACATGCCTACCTACCTCATCATGTTTTCCCCACCAAACAGATCCCATATTCTCATTCTCATATTCTTAATTGCGACAGTATTTCTTGAATTTCTGTTAATGTTATAATTGTTGATATTGACCAATTAAGTATATTGTTTATGAGGTAGACAAAAGATTAGGTACTTAGCTAGGAGGGAGCACAAAGGAAATTACCATTACTTCTGGAATAATGGAAAGAAAAACTAAGCACTGTATGAGCACATTTGTCTCGGAGCACATTTGTCTGAAGAGGTGTGACCGATGCCCTCGTAAACATTCATATTTGCAACAAATTGGAAATGAGATAGATGTGTTCAACACACAATAGAAAGGACACTCGAAGCACATATGTTTCCGTAAAATTCTAAAACGGTACTAATTATGTCCGTCCGCATACCGGTTACCATCCACTAGTTTATGTTTTCTGTATCTATTGTACCGATTTTAGGTCACTTCCCATCAATCAAAAACTTCCTGCCTCTGCATAGAAGTCATACATAAACTTAAAGAATATCCCTGTTCTGCATGACACAATGAAAATTTCTACCAGCGCAGTATCCAGAACCAAAACACATAATTATGCAGCGAGTCCATTTTTATTGTTATTAATTGTGACATCTTTCCGATGCTCGAACTTTTTATTATAATAATAAATATTAAATGATTTAAGAAATATCCTAAGCAACAACAAGGTAGTATCTACGGTGACATAAAGTGGACATAGGATTTTATTATTTATCTCGTGCGCACGCAATAGACATTACGTGCGCACGAGATTTTATTATCTATTACGTGCGCACGCGATAGACATTACGTGCGCACGAGATTTTATTATTTATTACGTGCGCACGAGATAGCCATTACGTTGTAAAGGGATAACTAAATATTACGTGCGTCCGCGGATAGGGAATCCGCATTTGGACCCTAGAAGGACTTTCTCGCATGAATAGTTCGACGCCTCGAGTGAGTGTCGAACCTTCAACGGTAAGTGGCAAGTGGATTTTTGAAATTACTCGCCTACGGAGACCCAAAATGATCTAAAGAAAATTGAGAAGAAAATCCCACAGGTTTTCGTTTTTGTCAGACATAAATAAAAGCTATATCTCCATTTTCCGAGAATTGTTGCTTTCAGATCCGCCATTGAAAAAGCAATTACAACGTGCATGAGTTCCTAAAAGAATCCAAGTAATGACATAATTATGGAATACCGGGCCTCGTAATTTCGGGCGAGACGCGACATTCTGACGATGCACGAAGCGAGGCGCGATATTGTTACACGAGATCTCGCAATGTGGAAGTATCCCGTACCACGAGATTTCACGGTAGAATATGTTTTGCTGGAGTTTCGCTTTTCGTGTCTCTCGGTAAAATATCGCGCATCGTTTCATGTCTGTGGGTCTCAAACGCCTGACTATGGTAAAGGAACCGGCGCTGGAGCCATCTGGCCTGGTTGCGTAATGGCGGACAGGTTACTGGACACTATTTCACATTACATGGTCATAGACGTCTCGATTTAAGCTATTGACATTTTGGTAGAAACATTTTAGTATTGGTGGTTCTTCCAAGTCACAGCAGTGTGATTTTTTAAGAGATGTTACAGTATCGAATGTGACGCTAGAAAAATTTCTACTATTCTCATCATTTTGTATCAGTTTTGTCATAACACTTTAAAATTAGACAAGGATTTGTTCATTAAAATGGGTGCAGCTATGTTTTGTAGCTCTTTGATAAATGTCAGTTTTATATCGAATATAAAGGGAATACTATTTAGCGGTATACGGCCTCGAATGATTTTCTTGTCTCGCGTTGACGTACGAGATGCGACGCGAGACGCGAGATTCCGGCAAGATGCAAAACGAGTTTAAATATCGCCCTATTACGGTGTCCCGCTTGGACATAAGTAACATTTTTATTTCCCTTAATCGCTATGCACGATGGTACAATGACGAAAACGCGAAAGTACGATGATGAAAACACGACGGCACGGTGATGAAACAACGATGCGATGGTAAAATCAGGATGATGCGAAGACACGATAGTGAAAATAATATCGCGTTTCCATCATCATGCTATCGCAGTATTATCATCGCACCATCGTATTTTCGCCATCGTAACATCGTGTTTTCACCATCGTACCATCGTTGTTTCACTATTGTACAATCGGTGTTTTCATCATCGTACCATATTGTGCCATCGCGCTTTCACCATTGTACCATAGTAAAAGGGATTCCGTATGTTTCAGTGTACGCCTTCAGGTTTAGCCAACCAAAGACATTAGAATTAATACATACTTCCACTGTAGTTTTAGGTTTAAGATTTCATAAAAAGCATAAGCAAACCCATTGATGATTACAACTGACATGGGGTACAACGGTGAACCTCGAATCTAATTCTGCCGTCAAATATTTCCTATACATGACATGAGACAAATGTGCTTTCTTGTCCCTTAAGAAACTTGATCGGAGCACACTTGTCACACAAATATGTTTTTTGGGGTAGACATTTGAGGTCCCATTTGTCTGATGTGGGACAAATGTGACAGCATCGGTCTTACGTAAGACAAATGTGCTCCGAGACAAATGTGCTCCTACAGAGCACCCTAATCATGCTCTGTGTTCTGATCTTACAGTGAAGAATTGTTCATTCATTCATTCATTCATTCATTCATTCATTCATTCATTCATTCATTCATTCATTCATTTATTCACTATAAAATTATCTGATCATGTAATAATTTGGAAATCTATCATTTGTCATCAAGAATACAAAATAGAACATGATTGTATTATCCTGTAAATCTAGTATTAATTAAGTTTAACGATTTCATTTAATGGTAGATTTCACACATTAAGATTTGCTTGAACATCTATGTTTTGACTTGTGTTGTATTTCTAAATCCTACCGTCTGCTAATGCCTTTAGCAGAAAGTGCTATTATTACATGTATTTTATCTAAGTTACGTGCTTTTTATCTAAGTTAACATGAACCAACTAGCAATTATTTTTAAGGAGCAAACAATTGCATATAAGACTAAATGATAATGAAATGTAAATATGTTTTTTATTGATAACATTGTCCCATTTCCTGTTTGTTGAAGTGTATACTTAACTGACTAAAGATAAACTAGGATTATCTTCAGGTATAGGTTTGAATCGACAACATGGCAAGTAATGAACTGCATTTTTTCTGAGGTTTATTTATCGTCGAATGTGGCTGTATCTATATTGCGTCACACTTCCACTATATTGCGTCACATTAACAGTAGATCAGATGTCATTTCAATATGCTATAGGTCAGCGCATCTTAAATAATTGTTAACGCAACCTATAGACATTGCATTTTGAAATTTAACCATGCTTTTACTACTTATATAACTGAATGCAATATCAGGTAAGTTAGCAAAATATTTTAGCTCAAATACTTGTCAATGTGTAGATGCTGCTATCTCTGACGATTTATCACATTTGTTTTTGTAAATTCGTAAGACATAATAATAAAAATGCATTAAAAATTAAACATGTATTTTGTTTACCATTTAAAGTGTTTACAGTAAAACTATATTTAATGAAATATGTAATAAAAGATTAAAAAAAAATAATGTTGTTTTCATGACCTCCTGATCTTTTATTTAGGAAATAGATATCAATTCTGAGTGCATTGTTGTAGAATAATGCACGGTTTGAGTTCAAATGCGTAGTAATATAATCACGAAGGCCGATAGGCCTGAGTGATTAATTACAAAGCATTTGAACGAAAAACGAAGAATTGATATCTATTTCCATTCTAATACGTCAAGAAAAAATATAATTTTTATTATAACGTTGGACTTTATGTTTGGTGGTTGAATTTGTTTTCGCCTCAGAGTTTCCAATAGAAACGTTCTTTAGAGGTCGTTCCAGTGGGTTGAAAAAAAAACTGTTAAATCTACCGTGTGTAGAAACATTTTGAAAATAACGAATTTTGAAAACGTTGATACAACTTTGTTTGTTTATTTATTTCAGTTTATAATTTTCCAAGCGAAATACAAATTATTAAAAGTGAAATAAATGTAAAACTAAACTCGTTTGCGACATTAAATAGCGAACTTGATTTGATTGTTTTGCACGTGCTGTTTGGCGCTACATTGTGACGTCACGTAAACAACACTTTAAACGTCTGTACAGCGTTAACAACTGAATTAAAGATATTGGTGTTCGGATTAATTTTCTTAGTTAGACCATTTTCTTTCATTCTAGATAGTTTTCACAACAAAATTCGAAAAAAATTGTTTTAATTTATCAGATTTTTTAAACAAAATGGCGCCTTCAATGTGAAAATACACAGGGAGATAATAAGAACGGCGAGTGCATTGTTGTAGAATAATGCACGCTTCCGGCCTTCTTTGTCTATATAGAAAAAATTCCGATAGTGTTAGAATGAAAGATTTGTAGCATAAAACGTCTATGTTTACAATCAGAAATACATAAAAACTTTACAATTCAATATTCCTTTGCCATTTCGTAGTAGGGTAGGAATGTAGATGCTGTAAGTCCCACTTGCTTCACTAATTTATAGTAAAAAGTTGGGTTTTGTTTATTTATTTGTTTTATGGGGGGTTTTTTTTTTTGGGTTTTTTTTTTTTTGTTTTTTGTTTTTGTTTTTTTTTTTTTTTTTTTTTTTTGTTTTTTGTTTGTTTTTTTTGTTCATTCTCGTTATTTTGTAGTAATTCTAATCCCAATTTAAATAATACTTTTTCAATCCGAAGCAATAATATGTAGCTTTAATGATACATATATTGTTATACATTATTTCGTAATAAAGCAATGAACTGGTAACTTCTTTACTCAAAACTTTAAGATAACCCTCATTTCGGTGACGTTTTTTGTTTGTTTATTTTTTTGTTGTTTTCAAACAAAACACCAGTGGTGGTTGGTACAAGCTAATTCAATTATTATCCTTGACTTTAAAATGTGAAACTGTTATTTATATATTTGTTGCCTAATGATCACATTCCATCTATACACGTGATTTCAAGCCTCCTTATAAAGCCAAAAGGTCAAAATCATCGCGGGGACATGAATATGCACTTAATGTTAAAAACAGTAACTGTCACTAGAGTATCAATGACTTTTTCTTTTGTGAATATGATCAAAACTGTGGGTCAATAGCTTGCATGGATTATTTTGACTATAAAATCAACAAACATTGTTCAGCGTTAAGTATTTTTATCATCATAAAATGTTTACTTCCGGGTGGTATACCTATTTTTGGAAGTTATCTTGCCTCGCCGTAAAAATACCTTGATAATACCGTGAATCACCGGATGTTTTTTTTATTTCAATGTGGAAGTTATACATTTGTTGAAACTTTGGTGATAATGTTAGACATCTTTATTAATAAACGTCAATGCTAATTTATAAACTGTACTAAAATTATCAGTAAAGACGAAACAATTTAATAAGGTGTATACGGTCTAGTGAAGGTATTGATTTTAATTATTGATAATGATGACTGAATGAAAATATACATTTGCTATTCTGGACGGTTAGGTAGTTCATTCTAGGACACTTTGAAATAGGCGTTCCGGATAAAATATGGGATAACTCCACCCGGCCTGGTGATGAGGACCTTTTTACAGAAAATAAATCGAGAGGAGTGTTTGAGACAAGTTCCGCTGATAACATTTCTGATTATCTTGGCAATCATCGAAACGTTGGGTAACTTATTAGTGTGTTATGTCTACACGAAAAAATACTCCGCGTCTAATTGTCGTACTTTTATTATAGTGTTATCTGCCATTGACGTGTTTGTATGTGCGGTGATAATACCGTTTGAGATATTGGTACTTATGAGAGAATACAACTTTAAACATGCTTGGATTTGTAAAGTTTCCGTATTCCTTAACACGTGGTTGATGTTAACAGCCGGGTGTTTACTATTAGCCATCGCGATAGACCGATACAGGAAGGTGTGTCGACCATTTTCATGGCAGATAACTCATGTTGCCGCAAGAAACATGTGCATAATGGCAGGACTACTGGGTCTTGCCTTTTCTTGGATTTCACCAGTGATATATGGCGCACAAAAATCAACACATAGTGTTTATAATATCACAATCTCGCAGTGCACTGAAACTTATGCAATGCAATTAACAGTATGGCCGCTTATAAACAATATATCTTTCGCTGTTTTGTTCATTGGAGCTCTGACGGGGATTGTTGTAATGTACTGCTTTATTGCTATAAGAGTTAGACAACATATTGAAAGGAAAAGCATGTTTCTGCCAAATCGACAAACATACATAGTTAACGATGCGGAGGTAAGCGAAATGACAATCATGTCCGGTAAAGTAGCTGTCCGAAAAAAGGCAAAGTTAGTTGAAGACGACACAAGCGATGGTCTTTTTCGGAGCAGTGATTCTCTTGACCGGAAGAGTGTGAACGAAACATCGGAACCAGAGAAAACGTCATTGGTTTTGTGTTCAGTTGATCGTGTTAAAAGCGAGAACCGGTCGGTAAACCGGAAATCAGTTATAAGCCGGATGTTGTCTTTTGGCAGACATTCACTGTCTTTGACAAAATCATTATCCACATCAACAACTAATTCTGTGAGACAAAACATTCGAATAGACCCAGAAGCTCAAAGGCAAAAGCAAAGAACTGCGTATATAATGTTTTTAATTTCGCTTGCATTTATTATCAGTTACCTGCCCTTGATTTGTCTTTTATTAATACGCGTCTCAGACAACAGATTTGTGCCTTCATTGAATGACACAGAGAGGGCTGTTTACAAGTTTTGCTTGAGATCATACTATATAAACTGTGTTGTTAATCCCTTTATATATGGATTATGGGATTCGAGATTCCGGAAGTCGTGCAGAAATATCGTCTGCAAAGGAATATGTAAATAGTTCCATAAATTAAACCGATAAATGAATAAATGAGTTAAACACTATTAAAAGGCTTCGTCGCATATGTATTTATTTGCATTTCATATTTCTATATGTACATGTACATAAAATAATGCAATTAAATTAGTTTAAACCCCAATGAGCTACACTGTAAAAAATTACCGTAAAATTTTACGGGAAAAGTCCTGGCAGCTGGTTTCCAGGACTTGGCCCGTATATTTACGGGCTATCCGTAACATGTTTTGGCGTAAAAATACTGGTCAAGCAGTAAAATTACAGGCCTTAAACATTACGGAGGCCCAGTAAATATACGGATCAATGCTGGAGTCCAGCTGCCAGGTGGGTGGGGTAGTAATTTTCAGATATTAAGCATAATTTTATAAAAGCTTTATATCGAGTAATCAAATGACATTCTGAAAATCAATTAAATATAACATTTTGTTCTTTGAAAATCGAAACAAAAAATCCGTAGCGAGCAAATTCTTGTACTAATTAGGATTTTTTGTAAGACATGTTTTACCTCTTGTCACACTTAGTAAAATGGCTGCCGTGGAACGCTATCCCGCAATGCAACGCAAACGAAGGTCCGATACCGTATAGTAGTGTACGGGCTAAACCCGTTACGGAATACCAGTAAACGACTATAAATTTAACGGTAAATTTTTACAGTGTATTACAAGAAATTGTAGAAAGTTAAGGTATCTGAGTACCGATATTGTAAAAGCGTACTTTTAGTTAAGAAATTTCAAAACGTTCTGGTGTAAAACATATTTAAATATTTCGAATTTTCACAACAATATCTTTATTTATGTTTTATTGAACAATGATTAAGTCTGATGAACATCAATACAACAATTATATCGCATAGCCTTTATTGAGGCCATTTTGACGTATTAGTTTTTAGAACTAAGAACATTTATATCTTAGAGGCTCAGTATAACCACGGACTTTAACTGACATGTAATAGGTCGGTGATATTAAAGAAGGCGGTAAGCCGATTTGCACCATGTTCTCAATGACAGTTTAGTTTTTTCGCGGTCAAAGTCACTCATGGCCATAGCCAGACTTCCGTACTTGCATACATGTAGATCATTTATCCATATTCGAAACATTTTTTACGTATGGATAGGCTTACATTGTTTGAGTTTGTTAGTGATGCAGAATCAGCGAGAAAGTAAATTATCATTCATCATGAAGAGAGTTAACATACCAACACATCAAAAAAAAATAATATAAAAAAAATAACATAACTCAACATTATCTTCATTAACGGGATATTTCTGTAAAAATGATCGCCTCGGTCTAACGGCTCATCATTTGTGTTAGCAAACTCATCCCTCGGTGTCGCCCCAGTTAATGTTATAATCCGTAACTAACTCATTTCATATTCTATAATAACTATTACTTATCAATGAAAGAAACAACAAGCATTCCATGCATCATGTGTGTACATTTTTCTACGTAGGGTTGATTGTAATTTATTCATTTCTAAAGATTTCTTGACAGCAACATTAACCTTTAACTGACACTATGCCAATCCACGGGTAAATAGTGAGTGAACTGGGGATAGTCAAAAAAAGATTACATTTTGTGATAATTTTCTTTCAATTTTAAAATTTAGTTCGCATGGACGATAGATAACTCACGCGGGGGTCCTAAGAAATTGCTGTAAATATCCTTTGAAATTGACCTTTAACATTCAATTTATATAAAAAAAAATAGGGGACTGTCTTTACAAATGTTAGACAGATTTATATTTTATCCTAAACATTTTCCGCAATATCATCTGTTGGTCAATCAATATTATTATACTAGTTAGTAATCAAGTCTTTTCAAATATAAGTCAATTCAGCTCAACTTTACAATCATTAAAAATGAGTACGAAATATCGTATTTCATTAATGCAGTTTATTAGAAGGGAGACAACGCTGGTATGTCATTATGTTTTCATATTGAATACTAAGTCATCTCCCTTTACAAGTTAGGTTGTCTTCTGAAAGGTTATGTTTTTTTTAGTTTAATTTTAAGTTTAAATACTTAAACAAAACCCACCCTTTTTCCCTCCCGGAATATTTTTTCCTTCTTGCTTGTTGTGCTTTCCTTATTTCTAATTTCAGCTTTATTTAAAAGGGATGTCAGCTCAATAGTGTAATACGAAACGTCATGGTCTGGATTTTTCAATTATGCCTTTATACTTACAATTTTGAGACAAGTGCCTAAAGACTTTAATTGATGAAAATGTTTACTTTCTCTTTATCGCATTTATGATTGTATTATTTTTACGAGATCTGCATAAGTGTAATAGTTTTGATATAATGGCGGTTATTATTACATTGTTATACATGGTTTTAAGCAAACTTACATTAAATATTAAACTTTATTGTACGTTTTCTTTAAATGAATATTTTGCTTAAGCAGAACGTTTTTATTGAGTTGTATGTATGTTATATGTTTATTGGCATATCTGAGCACGGTCCGTTGTTTCTATAGTCCGAGGAATAGTCTGAGGAGGTTTCCTCCAACGGATTCTACGGTTCAAAAGAAAAAATTGGGTTTTACGTAGGCGGCAAGTAATTCCTAACGACGAATATTACGATCGAACCCTGTTAGAGAAATTGTTTCTATGTTTGAAAAATTGTCCTGGACATTGTATGGCAAGTTTTGTGTCGGTGATATGCCTTTGTTTAAAATGTTATATCCTTTTTTCAGAGATTTAAAAAAACTAATGGCAGTATCTCTCTTTTCAAAATGTAACTTTAAGTTAAATTTATTGAATATATCTATAACAATATTAATTTTAGCTTTCTGTTATCCAGAGTTTATCATATCTTGGCATTTTGTCAGCACGGTTGTCTCTTTTTTTAAAATATAATTTTAATTGAATTATATCTTGAATAAACATAATTAAAAAAGGCAGCACGCCCCAAAATTCATGGTAATTTTTGCATGAAAATTTGAAAAAATTTAATCAGAAATGATTAATATTGTTGGTGAAGTAAACAAAAGGAAGCAATTTACATATTTTCAATGTCCCCACTTACAACAAACGTAAATTACTAAAACGTGGTCAAAATATGTATAAATAGCCCTTACTGCGTTAGTAACGCAGTAAGAAATATAGTTGTAAATGCTGAAAAAATCAGTCCATTAATTGCACAGAACATGTAAAATATTACTTGAATCTTGAATCTTTTTACATATCATAAAATTTTAGTACATTTTTATCAAGTTTGATTTTATTGAAATATTTTGACTCATCTGGAGGCATGCAGCTTTAAGCTTCCGATATCCGGAGAAATTCATGTCACTTCCGACTGTCTGAGTAAAATCAGCCATATGGGCTTTAGTCCTATAATATTATAATTTATATACATGTAATTGACAATCTCATACTACATGTATTATTATACAGCCATAGACAAAAAAACTGCAAACCTAAGTAACCGCAAGTAAAACGCTATCAATCTAAGAGAGTTGTTTTTATATTGTTCCCTTTGCTAATAATGTCACTTAAATTTTAATTGTTGTTGTTGTTGTTTTTTTTTCTTCATGTTCAGGACGATATTGAAACCATCGAATGCGAGGAATCAGGGGGCAGTACCTGAAGTGGATGCACACTTGATTCTATTGAAGCCAAATGATTGCTGCCACACTTGATTCTTTTGAGCCAAATGATTGCAAACTTGACAAAATTGCAACCTTAATTAAACACGTACAGATATAAAATGAATAAGGAAAACAGGCCAGAAAATTCAACTTACACTTATCATTTACAAATTAACGCTTAAAGTTAAAGAATATCCTTATTATTGTACACTTTATTTTTAAAACTATCCTTTACATTTTGTTTATATAATGGCAAAACCTACCCCTTACATTCTATTTTAAACATTTTCCCTTAAAATTTTATTTTAGAATGGTAAGAGAACTATCCTTTAACATTTTATTTTAGAATGGTAAATGAGATTCACCGATTTAAGTGTGTAATTTTAAAAATGACCAATGAAAATTCTTCTGTATTATATTCAGTTCCTTCTGTGTTAATTTTACAAGAAGTCAATTCTTCGTTCCGAAAAAATAAAAATAACATACAAACCCACTTACAAGGACAAGATTAGTGCGGTTGTTATTAAATTTTCATGTAGGTAGCCATTTTGTTCAAGTTTCAACCATTTTTCTCGCTTACACTTCACGTCCTGGACTGTTGAGGGAATATATCAACAAACTAGAGATTAGATAAGTTTGATACACAATAAAACGTTTGTATTATTTAATTATATTAATGAATATGATTAACTTTTGGTACAGTGTGTGTTAATGAGTTACAATTTGATAAAACATGAAATAATTTTCTATATAAATGTTGCTTTCTTTATTTTTAAAACATACTGATGTTCGTGAAGTTGGCAGCCTGAGCAGCCTAGCAGCCTAGCAGCCTGAAAGTTGGCAGCCTAGCAAGCCTGAAGTTGGCAGCCTAGCAGCCTGAAGTTGGCAGCCTAGCAGCCTAAGCAGCCTGGCAGTCTGAAGTTGGCAGCCTAGCAGCCTTTAGCAGCCTGGCAGCCCTAGCAGCTAGCAGCCTAAAAACAAGCCTTAAGAAAAACTAAGATACTAGTAGAGTAAAAAGTTATAAAGTACATACATGAAAACCGTCTGAAATACATTAGTAGCACTTTCTTTAGATCATTCTACGCCTTTTTCAATATCGTGATCTTTTATTTTTTAAGATGTTGAACTTTATCGTAAACATATTTTTTTCATTCTTGACGCTTCGAAATTTGATGTTAGCAGCCTAGCAGCCTGGCAGCCTAACAGCCTAAAGAAAACTAACGGAATAATACAAACATGAAAACGGACGGAAATGAGTCGGTAGCACATACTTAGACTATTCCACGTCCTTTTTTTCAGTATCGCGAACTTAATTTTTTTAAAAATATTGAACTTTGCTTTTTTTTTTTTTTTTCCTCTTTGAAATTTTAGAGCAGCCTAGGCAGCGCTAGGCTGCCTGGCAGCGCTAAATAAAACTAAGAATAGTACAAACATGAAAACCGTCGGAAATACATTAGCAGCAC